TACTAGTATGCAACCTGGTCCTTTTGCACATACTTTAAAACTACGACCCAGTGGGCCACCTGGTCCTCAAATTCTTGCAGGGCAACTACTAAGTATCTTATAACCAGAGTGTCCAGAATGGGCGATTTAGCGCCAATTGGGCAAGTTTTATACCCGAGCGCACTTGTGCACAAGGGTATATTAACTTTGTTTACATAACGGGTATTTGTATCAGCCAAGACGAATCGAGATAGATATAGACAAATGTATACATAAATGCTCAGAATGAATAGAGAAGTTGGTTAAGCCATGTCTGTCTGTCCGTCTGTCCCTCCGTCCGTCCGTGTACTCCAGAAAAAATTGATTTCTCAACGAAATTCNACCCGAGCGCACTTGTGCACAAGGGTATATTAACTTTGTTTACATAACGGGTATTTGTATCAGCCAAGACGAATCGAGATAGATATAGACAAATGTATACATAAATGCTCAGAATGAATAGAGAAGTTGGTTAAGCCATGTCTGTCTGTCCGTCTGTCCCTCCGTCCGTCCGTGTACTCCAGAAAAAATTGATTTCTCAACGAAATTCGGTACGTAGGTTTCCATTTATCCAAGGTAGGTTGATATTGAAAATGGGCGAAATCGGACAGTAACCACGCTCACTTCCCATATAACGGTATTTTCGAAAAATGCAAGAACTGCGAAGTAGAATTGGGGTAGAAAATAACACTATTATGAAATTTTTTAAAAATGGGCGTGACCCCGCCCACTTATGATGAAATGCTGTATCTCAGTAGCCGCTTCACCAATCCTTACCAAACTCGGTACGAGCCTTGCCTAGGGTTTAGCTAAAAAATATGTGAAAAATCTTTCAAATCGGTCAATAACCACGCCCACCTTCCATATAAAGGTAATTTACACAAGCACGAAAACTGCCATATATAAGCGATTAATAAGGCTTATTCACTTAAAATCGACGATTGCAGTAACCACTTAGCATGAAACAATATTATTATAAATTTTTGGATAATGGTCGTGGCGCCGACCACCTTTGACCACAAATGTGTATCGCGGTCAGGGTTCAGATTTGCCTCATTTTAGCACCTCGCTCGATCGTTAGTTTGCTATGAGCTTGCGCAACTCACGAGCACCAGAGCTGTTTGCGAACGAGCACTGGTTAAGTACGAGCGCACGCGCTGAGCAACCAGCGAGCGAGTAAAGGCGCTAGCAGTTGCCGACGTAAACGTACGTTAACGTGTCAGCTGACACGATCAAACTTATTATAGCGCCATGTAAATGAAAACTCACCCTCGTATACGTACAACGGTTACGCATGACGTATACTGGTTCTCTCTCTATCTCTATCAACAGTAAATTTTGTATGTTGCTACGCCAAACAGACACGGCATACGTAAACGTCGGTGACGGCTAGCGCCTTATGGTGCCCACACTCACCAACGTGTACGTACGCCGTCGTACCACATACACGCACATATCAACAGTAAATTTTATATGTTGCAACGTCAAACAGACACGGCATAGAGCGGCAAGCAACGTGGACCTCATTAGCTCTGCCCTCGCGAAGGCGTCGTAGAGAGCGAGGCACTCATTTGCAGCAGCAGCCGAGCGAGGCGAGTAAATGAGCGAGTCAAATGAGGCAAGCAGATTAGACTGGCAAACCGATTATTTGGTAAGAAAAAATTTATGGGATAAAAATTGCATCAACTAAGAATTTCGAGTAAAGGATTGTATGTACACATGCAGATATGTATATACATACATTAGAGTGGTGATAAAAAAAGACACGTATTTTTTTTATTTTGAAAAAAAAAGTTTTCTTAGAGGTCGCGCTGGTCGGTTTTTTATAAAAACGCTGATGTACTCAATTTTTTTATTTTCGTGACATGTTAAAATGCAGCTAAAAATGTGGTTTTTACATATAATTACTCTGGTATTATTGGGGAACTTTCCCTTAATTACACACCTGTCTTGGACAATTAGAATGGGTCTAGTTCCCGAAAATATGCTCTCGAAAAGACACTAGTAAAATTAAAACGTTGATACTGAACGATTTCCGCATTGTCATGGGTTGCAACTTGTTACCAGGGGGTTTCGGGGATACTAATTAGGAATCTGAAGTCAGTTTTTCGAAATTCAAAATGGCGGATCCAAAATGGCGGTCCATTTCTTAAAAAAATGATTGGATTAGTTCGAAACCCGGCACTCGAGAGTTTTTGGGGTCGCCGATTACGAATCTGAAGTCAATTTTTTAAAATTCAAAATGGCGGATCCAATATGGCGATCACGTTTAAAAAAAAGTACTAAAATTAAAACGTTGATACTGAAAATTTTAAACATTTTCAAGGGTTAAAAGACGTTTCCAGTGGGTTTCTGGGGTTGCTGATTACGAATCTGATGTCAGATTTTCAAAACTCAAAATGGTGGATCCAAAATGGCGACCAACTTTAAAGAAATGATTGGATTTGTTTGAAACTCTTAACCGCCATTTTGAGTTTTGAAAATCTGACATCAGATTCGTAATCAGCGGCCGTTTTCAGCGTTTTTATTTGATCGCCATATTGGATCCACCATTTTGAATTAAAAAAAAATGACTTCAGATTCGTAATCGGCGGCCACAAAAACTCTCGAGTGCCGGGTTTAGAACAAATCCAATCATTTTTTAAAAAAATGGACCACCATTTTGGATCCGCTATTTTGAATTTGGAAAAACTGACTTCAGATCCCTAGTTAGCAGCCCCAGAAACCCCCTGGTAAGAAGTTCGGACCCATGACAATGCATACATCGTTCAGTATCAACGTTTTAATTTTACTAGTCTCTTTTCGAGAGCATATTTTCGGGCACTAGGCCCATTCTAACTGCCCCAGACAGGTGTATAATTAAGGGAATGTTCCCCAATAATGCCAGAGTAATTATATGTAAAAAAACCAATTTTTAGCTGCATTTTAACATGTCAAGAAAATAAAAAAATTGAGAACATCGGGGTTTTATAAAAAACCGACCAGCGCGACCTCTAAGAAAACTTTTTTTCAAATTAAAAAAACACGTTTCTCTTTTTTTTATCACAAATAACAATAATTTAAGATAGCGTTTATGAATTTCCAAAAAAAAAAATTTTGAACCACTCTAACATACATATATACACTTATGTATGGATTTACATATGTATATATTCTCATGCACAGAAGAATAGCTGTGTGCTATCTTGACCAGTTTTATCTAAAGGTAGGAATTGTAATGCTCTCACCCCCCTAGGGTTGTTCTATATCGAAAAAAGTAAACCCTATTGTTTTATTTTGAAATCAAAAAATATTTAAAGGTCGCTCAAAGCGCTCAAAGTTTCTCATGTATTTGTATATGGGAAAAACAAATATTTTCATAGAAATGATATAGAATTCTTGAAAGTCAATTTTTTTTTCGATCGCAAAACTCTGGTTCTCTTCAGGAGACTTTTAATAGTAATACCCGATTGTTTATTTAACCATTTTTTAATACTAACGATTTTTTATTGGTCGCCCCATTGCATTTTTCTGGGTTTTTGGTGGACCTAAAAATATAGTTGCAATGAAAAAATGGTCAAATAACAAATTGGGTATTATTACTGGGAATCTCCTGCAGATAAACAGAGTTTTCTGGTAGAAAAATATGGATTTTTAACTGTTCTATACCATTTCTACGAAAAGTTGTTTTTTCCCCATATAAAATAGATGGATGTAAATATATTAAATATTGTAAATAGTACTGTAAATATTTTTTGATTTCAAATTAAAAAAATAGGAGTATATGTTTTTCGGTATAGAACAATCCTAACGGGGTGAGAGCATAAAAACTCCGACTTTACTTTTTCACATGCATTTTTGGACCACCCTAATGTGCATACATATCTATGTATGTATAATTTTTTTAATGCTCAATAATTTCTTACAAAATTTCAACTTATTATTCATGGAAGAAAGACCATACAAGTCCAAGCTAGTTTCATACTTTGTAAAATATTTGAAAATTTCCACAAAGTTTTATGAAAATTTTAAACTTTTAAATCAGATTTATAGAGCAATGCTTGGAGTTCTTATAGCACATTAGATTTTAGTATTATTATAATAAAATAAAAGTATGCCTTCTACAATGAAGCTTGGCAGAGAATGCTTTGGCCACTAAATTAACATATTGTGGCGAATACTGCGGCAACACAAAGCGAACAACGAGAAATAGGCTGAATGTTCGAGGAATGACGTAGAATGTTCCACAAAGAGAAACGTCAAGTTGGATGAACACTGCGAACAGCGAGAGAAAGAGAATGAGCGATAAACTTCAGAACGTTCTAGAGTTGCCATAAGTGTGAGCGCAGGTATATAAGAGCCACGACACAGCGGAGTGGGGACAGTTACAATTCAGCAAGCTACAAGTAAAGTGAGCGGAGAATCGAGTTGCGAATAAGCAAGCTATAAGTTTAATTGTGTTAACAAGTAGTAAAGCGTTGTTATTGCTTTAACAAGTATTGTAAAGTGTTTTTACTGTATTAGCAAGTATTGTAAATTGTTTGTTGTACAATAAAGTTAATTGTACTACAATTCGGTCATCGTTAGCATTTATTTAACAATCCAGCGATACGAGCCCGAGTATATTTGGGTAATCCCTCAAGGTTTCGAGGATAATCGTAACAATTGGTGTCAGAAGTGGGATTGTTAAATAAATCCCGAAGGATAAACTACTGAAAATGGCGAAAATTCAGGACTTAAAGATTGAGGAGCTGAAACAGGAGTTGGAAAAGCGTAATTTGGCCACCTCCGGAAGAAAAGTGGAATTGTTATCCCGGTTGCGAGAGGCTATGGAAGCTGAAGGCATCGACGTGGACAAATACGACTTCCAAGGTAAACCCGACGATACATCCGCAATGGACGAACAGAAGGATGAGGCTGCATGTTCGTCGAAGGATGTGCAACAGACATCCGGGAAGGTTGAAGAACAGCAAAAGGCTCCTTCGTCATCAACAGTTATGGACATGAACACGTTATTGGCTGCCATGTCACAGATGATGCAAGTACAGGATACACGCATGTCAGAGATGTCATCACAGCTGTCATCACAGATTTCCTCGCAGCTGGAAGCACAGAAAACGTACATGTCATCGCAGCTAGATGAAAAGATTACTCAGCTACAAGAGAATTTATTTAAAGATAACGCGGAACTCAGAGAGAGACAGGATAAAATCGAGGAACGACAAGATAAAATCGAAGAGCTAATTCAGGAGAAAGTCGAGGCTAAGGTAGAAGAGTTGGAAGGTCGCCTCCGAGATATGCAGTTGAATCGCCCACCTTCTTCGACCAGCGCGCCCAAGGTAAAGACTCCATCCTTTGACGGCACGATTCCTTTCCAAGTCTTTAAGCTCCAGTTTGAGAAGACAGCTACAGCAAATCACTGGAGCATGGAGGATAAATCCGCTGCACTGTTCGTTGCATTAAAAGGACCTGCAGCGGAAATCTTGCAGACTATTCCTGATTGTGAAAGGAACAGTTACGATGCGTTAATGGGTGCAGTGGAAAGACGTTATGGTAGCGAGCACAGGAGACAGATTTACCAGATGGAGCTGGAAAATCGCTGCCAGAAATCCAACGAGACTCTACAGGAATTCGCCTCCGAGGTTGAAAGGTTGGCTCATTTGGCAATTGGAGATGCATCTGGTGAGCACCTCGAAAGAGTAAAAATCCAGAGGTTCATCAACGGAATGCGGGACGTGTATACCAAGCGCGAGACGTATGCAAATCCAAAGCCAACATTTGCTGAAACGGTCTCGTATGCTCAGACACGTGAAACGGCAGCGCTCCTAAGTAGACCAGCCTACAAAGCCCATCGAGTAGAAGTGGAAACACCTGACGTGATGAACGAGATCCTGAAAACACTCAAGTCGATGGCAGGGAAGAATACTCCTGGTGCAACCGAGAGGAAGGATGGTGCTAGAAAATGTTTTAGTTGCGGAAAACCAGGCCACTTCGCACGCGAATGTAAGACGGGTTCCAACAGGTCAAACAGTTCAGCAGTACGTAAACGCAGGACTGAGGATGACGAGCCCAACTCCGACCAGTCGTTAAACTAAAACGAGCCAGCAGCAAGGGGCGCACGCTGGCTCCCGCAATTGAATGCCCCATAATCTCCGTCTCGCGAATTGGCAGAAAGGCGAGCAACGTTACTGTTTGTGGATATGTGGACGGACATGAGCGAGTACTAACTGTGGATACGGGCGCATCACATTCCATCATTCGATCTGATTTGGTCACTAAAGAGGTAAGGCCATTACCTGGAGCAAGGTTGAGGACAGCAACTGGTGAGGACACCCAAGTTGTAGGAGAGGTAACATGCAAAGTCGCAATAGGGAATGTGACGGTGTTACACAAGTTCATAGTCGCGGCGATTATGGATGAAGTCATCATTGGATTAGACTTCATGCTTGATCAAGGTATGAAGATCAACATGAAGAACAGGATTATGACGTATAACAACATGGAAGTGCCCCTTCGGTTTGGGTATGATGGTCCATACAGCAGCAAGCGAGTGATCCTAGAGGAAAGCGAGCAGATTCCACCGAAGTCAGAAGCAGTTGTGTGGGCAAAGATTGATGGAGATTGTGGGACAAACAAATTGTGGGTTGTTGAAGCGACACAAAATTCTACACCGGACGTACTTATTGGTAAAACCCTGGCTAAGACGCAAAAGGATGGACGCATCCCAGTTCGAGTGCTCAATGAGTTCAAGTCACCAGTCAAACTCCGAAGAGGAACTGTACTGGGGCAATGTCGAGAGGTAGAGGCAATCTTCAACTGCGAAAAATTACCTGAAAGCGATTCCATTGGCGAGAATGACATTGCGGAAGACATTAATGCATGGACGGAAGGGTTGGAAGAAAAATACCAGCACAAGGCTAAGGAACTTCTCCGAAGATACTGCAACATATTCGACAAGGATGGCGACAAACCAGGCAGGACTAACGTTGTGAAACATCGCATTGATACTGGCGATGCAAGGCCAATCCGTCAAGCTCCTCGGAGTGTTCCACTTGCCAAACGTGAAACTGTTAGCCAAATAATAAAAGAAATGAGCGAGAGTGGTGTGATTGAACCATCAGCGAGTCCATGGAGTTCGCCGGTAGTACTTGTGAAGAAGAAGGATGGTCAAATGCGGTTCTGCGTAGACTACCGGAAACTAAACGATGTGACGAAAAAGGACAGCTATCCTCTTCCCAGGATCGATGACACTCTGGACTCGTTGACTGGAACAAAGTGGTTCTCAACACTCGACCTTAAGAGCGGTTATTGGCAAGTGGAGGTAAGTGACGAGGATAAGGAGAAGACAGCTTTCAGCGTTGGAGACGGTCTGTGGCAATTCACGGTGATGCCCTTTGGATTATGCAACGCTCCTGCCACTTTTGAACGACTTATGGACCATGTGCTCAAAGGACTGCATTGGAAAACATGTTTGGTGTATCTAGACGACATTATCGTATTGGGTAAAAGCTTTGAGGAACACCTGAACAATTTGGAAGAAGTTTTCCAGAGGATAGCTGGCGCTGGTCTGAAGCTAAGTCCTAAAAAGTGCTCACTGTTCAGGAAGGAGGTGAACTACTTAGGGCACAAGGTGACAACGGAGGGCATCTGTACTGCGAAGGAAAAGATAGAAGCAGTAAAGGATTGGCCAAGACCTAGGAACCTGCACGAACTACGAAGTTTTCTTGGGCTATGCACCTACTACCGCCGATTTGTTCCGAATTTCGCCAGCGTTGCTAATAGCCTCCACGAGCTCACTAGGAAAAATAGAGCCTTCGAGTGGAACAAGGAGCAGGAGGAGGCTTTCCAGACTCTGAAGGAACGACTATGTACTGCACCTATGCTAGCGTATCCCGTTCCAGGTGCAACGTTTATTTTGGATACGGATGCTAGTGGTTATGCCATAGGAGGCGTACTGTCGCAGGTAATTGATGGGCAGGAGAAGGTAGTTGCCTACTATAGCCGGTCGATTGGAAAACCAGAGAGGAACTACTGCGTAACTCGGAGAGAACTACTAGCGTTGGTGGACTGCGTCAAACATTTCCACAAGTACCTCTATGGGCAACGTTTCCGAGTTCGAACGGACCATGCAGCGCTGAAGTGGCTACTACAGTTTAAGAATCCAGAAGGACAGCTAGCTCGGTGGATTGAGAGACTGCAAAGTTATGACTTCGCTATTGAGCACCGCAAGGGAAGTGTCCACGGTAATGCTGATGCCATGTCCCGCCGACCATGTAGCCTGGAATGTAAACACTGCTCAAAAGCTGAGGGAAAAGAGGACATTATAGACGTCCGTCTAACGACAATAACACCAGCGGAAGAGTGGAAGGAAGAACAGCTACGAAAGTGTCAGCAGGAAGATCCAGATCTGGAGCTTTTGATGCATGGACTGGAGGTGGACAGGAGGCCAACTAAGGAGCAAATGGCAGCGGAAAGCCCCATCGCAAAGGCGTACTGGGCACAATGGAACAGCTTAAAATTAATATCTGGCTGTTTGCATAGGGTATGGGAAAGCGAAGATGGCCAGTGCTCCCGCAACCTGATAGTAGTTCCAAGGGTAAGAATTCCGGATGTACTCAAGGAATTCCACAATGGTCCTAGTGGAGGGCACCTGGGAATCACGAAGACCCTGGAGAAGGTTAAGCAGAGGTTCTATTGGGTTGGTTGTCGGCAATCGGTCGCAGAGTGGATTGCTAACTGCGCGGAGTGTATTGCAGCTAAGGGGCCGAAATCCAGAAGTCATGGCCAGATGAAGCAATATAACTCAGGTGCACCTTTCGAGCGGATTGCCATGGATGTAGCCGGTCCATTTCCTATGAGCGCACAGGGAAACAAATACGTCCTTGTGGTTATGGACTACTTTAGCAAATGGCCGGAGGTATACCCGATTCCAAACCAGGAAGCTAAAACAGTAGCGGAGGTATTCACCTACAATTGGGTTGCGAGATACGGTGTACCTATAGAGCTGCACTCTGACCAGGGAAGAAATTTTGAGTCGGCAGTGTTCCAAGAGATGTGCCAGATACTGGGTATCCGGAAAACTCGAACGACGGCTCTTCATCCCCAATCAGACGGCATGGTGGAACGGTTCAACCGAACCCTGGAAGAGCATTTGCGGAAGGTCGTGGACAAGAATCAAAAAGATTGGGATGTCCGCATACCCTTGTTCCTGATGGGATACCGGTCAGCAGTGCATGAAACAACGGGTAAAACTCCTGCAAGGGTAATATTCGGCAGTGAGCTCCGTTTGCCTAGTGATCTGAAGTTTGGGGTGACTGGTGATGCTAGAAGGATTGGAAAAGAGACGTCAAACATCCTGGAAGAGGAGCTGAGAGAGATACATGCTCTTGTGAGACAGCGCACACAAATTATGAGTGACAAGATGAAAGCCAGGTATGATAAGGCGATGAATTCCGAGGGTTTCCAGGAAGGAGATTTGGTGTTGCTGTACAATCCACAACGAAAGAAAGGTTTGTCCCCAAAACTACAATGCAACTGGGAAGGTCCGTATAAGGTCGTAAAACGGCTAAATGACGTAGTGTATCGGATCCAGACCGTTGGGAGACCAAGAAACAAGATGAAGGTGGTCCACTTGGAAAGGCTTGCAGCGTTTGGAACCGCAAGTGTGTCTGATCGGGACGATCAGACTTAGGTGGAGGGCAGTGTGGCGAATACTGCGGCAACACAAAGCGAACAACGAGAAATAGGCAGAATGTTCGAAGAATGACGTAGAATGTTCCACAAAGAGAAACGTCAAGTTGGATGAACACTGCGAACAGCGAGAGAAAGAGAATGAGCGATAAACTTCAGAATGTTCTAGAGTTGCCATAAGTGCCAGCGCAGGTATATAAGGGCGCCGCCACCACGAGGTGAGTTAGTTACAAGTCAGCAAGCTACAAGTAAAGTGAGCGGAGAATCGAGTTGCGAATAAGCAAGCTATAAGTTTAATTGTGTTAACAAGTAGTAAAGCGTTGTTATTGCTTTAACAAGTATTGTAAAGTGTTTTTACTGTATTAGCAAGTATTGTAAATTGTTTGTTGTACAATAAAGTTAATTGTACTACAATTCGGTCATCGTTAGCATTTATTTAACAATCCAGCGATACGAGCCGGAGTATATTTGGGTAATCCCTCAAGGTTTCGAGGATAATCGTAACAATATTAACGAGGGATAAATTAATATTTCATATCAATAATTGCATAAAAAAAATGATATTTTTTGATTAAAAGGAAAAAACATTTCACATATTTTTATTTATTTGCAACAGCTGACGAGCGATGCACGCGATCTTTCTGCTTTG